GTAGTTGGCATCTAGCTTGGCTCGACCTTGGGTACGCTTTTACACTCTCACCCATCCTTTTTCCCACACCTTGCTACACTGTACTATAGCTGCACCTAGTCATGCAAGACTGGATCGCAGCATAGCGGGTGGGCTTGGCCCAACTTAGGATTTTATCCTCTCACTGTACTTTTTCCCACTCCTTGCTATACCAAACAAGGCTAAGCTTGCCATCTCATATCTTTTTTTCTAGTGTCCTTGAATCCCTTTCTCTCTCTTTCTATTTAGGCAAGCCGTGACGCTGCACTGTATAACTCCTATAGCGTGTATGTGCCATAAAAACGGCAAACCCCCCTACTTGCTACAGTGGTCTACTAAACATTAGGAAACACTCAGGTGGCGAACACCTATTAGGGGCCGCACATTGCAGCTTTTCTTGTTAATCATTTGAACCAAGTGCTTGGGCGTGGAATTGCGCGTGTGCCAATTCGTAAAGATCATTTTCTATTTGAGACACACTGCAGATTGTCGTAACCGCTCTACTATTAAATGGTGCCTGAAATGGTGTTTAGAAATTGGGGTGCAAAGTGTTCAGCTACAGCTTTATCAAATAACTTGCACCATAAATTGGGAAGTCCACTCTAACCAATTTGACCCACCTAAAGAGAAAATCCGGTATATCTTTTCATGTATTGAAGTTTTACATTCCTGTAACTGCTTGGGTAGTTCAAGTTTCCTCAACTCTTCAATAACTAAAAATAACAAAAAATAGAGGCATAGAAACTGAAAGAACTAGCTGCTTCGTGCAGAAACTGCAATGGCCGTCGCAGGAAACCCGCCCCAGCATATTTACTGGGGGATGAGTTGTCGTGCCAAGTAGCACCAAGCCACTTCTCCCGAAGTGCGCTGTTGGAGGGAAATGAGTGACAAAAGATATTTCAGGTCTGTACTGCTCAGTTCTTGGAACAGAAGCTTGCCCTTTTTTTTTTTACCACACACAACACAGTTTAAAAAACCAAATTATTATCTGTGTCAGCTGTTGTCAGCCTCCTGAAGCGCCTGCTTGACAGGAGGTAGGACACATCAAGGCAGGACAGGATAGGTAACCATATCACAAACGCAGGGTGGTCCACATTTAAAGGTGTGATGCGTCGTTACACTCTTCCAAATTCATTTTCAGAATAGCATATAATGGAAATAAAGGTAGCAGCACAATGATTGGATGAAGCGGTGCCCCAGTATACCATCTGTCATAAATGATTTAGTTATATAATTTGGCACATATATAACGTACAGAGGGGAACATATGTTGACAATCAAATTAAAATCATTGAACACTGAAAGATCGTCGCAGTCCTCTTTTAAGGGAAGAAGATTTATTAAATGCGATTCATTTCTTGGCAAACTGCAGACTAAACGTATATCTAACTGCCTATGCCTCGGTGCTCTCATGATCACCTCTATGACTTGAGGTACACTAAAATTAGCAGGGGACAGTAGGGAGTTCTGGCAAATACGTCTGGTTGGTTATGACATGAATAATGTCAAAATCCCGTCGCGTAAATCGTCAAACCCTTTCCTCCAGACACGTTCGACATACACCTGTAGACCACGACCACCGTATGCTCCACAGGCCGCCGACGGCTTGTATGCCCAGGAACGGCGCGAACAGACATTGGTAATTGTAAATGCCAGAACATTAAGAAAAATAATCATTGGTAGCCCTGATCTGACGAATGCAAAGAATAAATAACAAGGCCCCAGCAGGAATCGAAACCAAGCGTTCAGATCCACGCAAGGTCTCGAAACTGCTTAAAAAAAAAAAAAAACTCTATGCAGCCGTAATCTTGGTGAAATGTCCAGTGCAGTTGCAGTGCTGCCCGTCTAATTATATAATCATTACATATGTGCTCCCACGGTGCAGGCGTCATGTTGGGTCAACATCTGTCGTATAGTACTTAGCCCCATCCACTTAAGTTGGTGGCGCTAGCCAGGGCTACCATCCTAATTGCAATTGAACAAGCGCTACATATCGGCTTACCACTTTCGACGTTGGTAAAACCTATGTTGGTGTTGGCATCGTTATGCAATTGTAAACAACTGGTGATATAAAACATATGCTGATGTTCAACATATGTCTATTCTTATAACATTTGTGCATATCTTTAGCATTATTTCACACGATTCCGCTCAATAAATAAATTACCGAACAGTCACGTGCCTTGCGCATGCTTCTTCGCATAACAGAGATCCCCATGGTATGTGGGACCTGTTGAATATATAACGCGATAGCTCGTTTCGCGGAAATTCCGGCATCGATGTCGGTGTCGGTGTCATTGATTGTGAGCATAAATTATCATATTTTTATGTGTGACCGAAAAATCAAGAACAATGCAAATAAATTAAATGAATGACAAAAATCCTGGAGCACATATGGGACTGAAACAGGGTTGTTAGGGGTCAAAGGAGGGATTGAACGCGGGTTGTGATTCGTGGCAAGCGGATGTTCTACCACACGGCCACGCCTCTGCTTTTGTAAACAGTGAGAACTTCTTGTGCTTGGAAATGCAGTGAAAGTAGCTTTAATGCTTCACAAACGCACGCGTCCTGTATACATGCGTCACAACGCAACATGCCCCGCCGCGGTGGTCTAGTGGCTAAGGTACTCGGCTGCTGACCCGCAGGTCGCGGGTTCGATTCCCGGCTGCGGCGGCTGCATTTCCGATGGAGGCGGAAATGTTGTAGGCCCGTGTGCTCAGATTTGGGCGCACGTTAAAGAACCCCAGGTGGTCGAAATTTCCGGAGCCCTCCACTACGGCGTCTCTCATAATCATATGGTGGTTTTGGGACGTTAAACCCCACAAATCAATCAATCAATCAACGCAACATTAAATATAACAGTAATTATGCGTGTACAAGTGTCCACTGCCAACGGGCGCCAGAATATGCGATTATCATAATGGCTCTGTGGTTGAAAGCCGGTACCCCACTACAAAAGGCATACACGCTACTGCACCTATCCACTTAAGGCCACGTAGTGGGTGCATAGCAAATTCGAAAAGGTTTCATGCACTGAGTGTTTGAAGCACACACTATAGATTATATAGCTGTCGCGTTCAATTGTAAACAACAGGTTATGTAAAACATATGCTAATGTTCAACATATATTTGTGCGTACAAGATTTGTGCACACCTTTAGCATTATTTCACAATGTTCCTTATGGTACCCTAATTTTCTTTATTACGATTAACTCGAATTATAGTGAAATGGTTCAGTCGCGTGCCATCTCATTGCAGATATAATTTCAGCAGGAGAATGCTTCTGTTGCAAAACACCCTAATTGATATTGCAGCACCCCAATCGTTTTATTGGTTCTCACATTCCAGCCCCCCCCCCCCCCCCCATTCATGAAGTGCACACTCATGATGTCACCAAAGCTTCAGTGCACATCAATTCAGTGTGGTAGCGTTAAAGAGCACGTTTCACAAAAATTGTGGCGTCAGCGTTGTTGGTAGTGATCGAAAAATCATCATCTAGTGCGTGATCAGAAAATTTAGCAAGATTCAAATGAAGCAAACGTTAAAACATTCTTGGTCAGAGTGATGATAGAACCAGGGTGGTTTGCATGGCAAGCAAGAGTTCCATCACACAACCACACGTCTTCTGCATGTGAATGCTGTGAAAGTAACTTCCTCTTTCTACAAATGCATTGAAAGTAACTTTCATGCTTTGCATACACATGCGTTCTGTATACATTTTTCGTAATACATGAAGCACTGTAGTAATAATGCGTGGTACAAGGGATTTGGCATCAGGCATCAGGACATGTGATTATAATGACTTCATGGTTTAAGGCCAGCCACGCACTACAAAAGGCACACACGTTACTGCGGGCCCACAGCAAGTTCAAAAATATCTCATACACCAAGTGCTTCGAGTACGCAATAGAGACAGAATATCCCCATCACGTTCACCTTTTAAGGGTCCCCCAAGTTTTTATGGCACTTCACCCCAGCAGCATGCTAATTTCTCATGATTCTAGAAAAGGTATATCGAAGTGATGTCATAACTTGTCAAAGCGAACGACGCAATCATTCGTTAAAAGGAGTACTGACAAAATTCTGAAGGCGAGATTGCTTGTGGGGCAGATTTGTGTGGGCACGCATCTCATTCAAGAAATATCATTGATTATAGCCAAGCACATGTTCAAAACAATTTCTTTTTTAAGTTCGTGAAGAACAACTGTACACACCTATGGCTTTTGTGCAAAAAAAAAAAAACACTAACTGTTCCTTGCGTCGCATGTTTTTGTAGGCTACCGTGACCCTTGCGAGCGCTCTTCGAGCAGACTTTTTCCAGAGAAAGAGGGGGCAGGCTTGCGTGGGAGTGCAAAGGCGGATGGCTATTTCTTGGCCGTGCATTTTTAGGGCGGGGGGGGGGGGGGGTCACACATTTTTACCACTTCTCAGAAGGCATTATAGCGGCAAATGAAAAATTCTTCATTAAAAAAGTGTGTCAAGGCAGTGCTTATGTGCACACGCTGTTTTGCGTGCTCACGTAGTCAGCTACGTTTACACGAAAACCAATCTGGGTCCTGCCTCACTCGGTGCTCTCTGAAACCAAAGCTGCAACTTAGTGCTGCAAATCCACCTCCAAACAATCAACTATAGCACTCTTGAGCAATTGAGGTTTCCAGCCGTCATAAGTGGGTCGTTTAATACATATTCCAACAGAAAAAATAAGATGCAATACTTTAGTGCTTCTTTAATTATCCGATAAGTGAGCGTTTTTACGATTCAATTTTAGGATTGTCAGGCACAACGTTAATAATTATGACTTCTCCATCTTCCATGACTCCACCATCCTCCAAGGCACAGAAGTCGCAAACGAAAATTTGGCTGTCAGGAGTTTAAAAAAGTTTATTCTCTGTCTGACGAGTTTTAGACAGTACACAAGTATTTTACTCCTAGCAAGACAGAGTCAATGGTATTCTAAGTACTTTATTTCAACATGGATGAATATTTACAGTCAACGAAAATACATTACACCATAAGGTGTTGATGCACACCCACTCAATTGTTCGTTTGCCATGCTGATCATGGTCTGCACGGCCACCGTCCTCGAGCCCCGTGGATGGGATAATGCTTGGGTGGCCTTCATCGTCATTCGCACCGCGCACTGCGTTGATGCATCAGCCTTTTCCGGCCCTAGAAGACGTGGAGAACAAAAACATCTTTAGGGTGCAACGGCAACCTCAACACTGTTTCTACACTGGCATCCGCATGTTTGGGCTGTGGACTTTATTTCCTTGGCGGCCACGTTTCGGTGAACAACGCGAGAAAAGTCCGCTTACCATGAAGGCCAGACAATAAAGTATTCTGAGCCATTTACGATATGAGCCACCCATGACTCCTCCATTGCTTCCGCATTCATTTTAGCTTTTATAAGAGGGTATATAAATTTGTGTCCTTACATCAACGCCTGATATCAACGCGCAGCTGGGGTCTGACCTACTTGGCACCGCTCCAACACCTGTGGCGAAGAAAACGCGTCGCCGCGCATTCTTACCAATGCTAGTACGTACGGCGTTACACGTGTCAGTCAAAAAGCCGTATCGCATCTAAAAAGTATATCCAGAATAAGATGGGATAAGAACTCAAGGAACTAAGGGCAGCAGTCGATCGAGTACTGAACCAGAGATCCATGCTGGTGGTTGACACTTCTTCAAAGGAGAGGCCCTATACAGACGTCATGCTGGGCAAGGAATCTTGTTGACATGCTTAATACAGCATGGCTGAATAAAATAACAACCAGTCATCACATAATGCATCACATAATGCTAATTGTGCAACGAGTGTGTGGTTTGATGCTTCCCACCCACTGCGCAGTGCTCAGCCACGATTCTTCACCATCGTCACCCACCAACAAAAGGTGCATAATGCCTTACAGATGTGCTGGCTGCCTTGCTGATTGGCAGAAGCCTGAATCATGACATAGAGGGTGCTTCCTACTCCCCTCACAAAAATTATGATTTACAGTGTAGTAGGTGTATACAGTGCCAATGTACTTGTACTGTTTTCCACCTCACAAAATTATGATCTATGGCTTACAGTGGACACCTTGCAAGTGTACTTGTGTTGCAAGTGTACTTGTGCAAGTGTACTTGCACCTCACAAAAAAGTAAAAGTATGATTAATCGCGTACAGGGTTTACCTTGGAAGTGTGCTTGTTTTAGTTGCCCCAAGAGAGTTTACAACGGTCCAGGAGGCTGCTCCTACGGCTTTTCGTGTCACTGAGCTGTGCGTACCGCGAAGGACAGTATGTATATATATATATATATATATATATATATATATATATATATATATATATATATATATATATATATATATATATATATATATATATATATATATATATATATATATAATACAAGGCTGGCTCTGGCCGATCGTTTCCATAAATAAAAAAAACATGTAAAACAGCTTTCGGCCCCTCTCGTGCATTGCCCTTTCATTCATCGAAGGTTTCCCTCACACCATTACAGCTGCCTCATCCACAAAATGTTGCGGTGATTGGCGGCGGCACCTCCCACGAGTGGTTGTGCCCCTTTGTCTCGCGGCATAGAGATCGCGTTCTACTCGGCGATGAACACTGACAACAGACGGTCAAGGCTATGGAGGCGGAGCTTCCACACACTCTTGTTGCTCCACAAGTAGTACGGCAGCTTGCGCCTGATTTGAGTTTGGCTGGATCGCGTTGTTATAGCGTCTAGAAAGAAACACACAAAACGTGTGAATGGGAGAAGGATCTAGAGGTTCAGCGTGCATTTTAGTGTAACATAACTGGTATATTTTTCTTGCAGAACTAAACAGCGCATTTGCGGCCAGACTCACTGCGTCATGAACACCATGTTTACTATCGAAAATGGCGTGCTGAAAAAGGTGGTGCTGTCTCAGAAAAGAAAAGCATTCTTGCGAAAGTGAACAGTAACTGGTATTTTACCTACGACTACCCGCAACTGTCAGTCTTATAACAAATAAAGCATTTTTTTTTACTTAAGCAAGTCTAGATGACAAGTCAGTGGTAGTTGGCACGTGCTTCAGCTTTGTAGTTTCCAAAGTGCTCGAAGTTGTCGCCAAGTATATTGCTGATATTGGCAGCTGCTCTTTGGACTCGTTTTTCTTTTTGTTGAGTTAAAGTTAGGGGGGGGGGGGCGGGTTTCACGCAAGAAAATATGATACACACACAGAAGTATAGCACACGCAGAAGCATACGCACCAACTTCCGCCGTGATGCATCCCGTTTGCAAGCATACTGTGGTCGTTTTCGTGTTTTTGTCTATGTAAGCCGCAGTGGCCCTGGACATCATGGGAACTGCGCACTGAGTCATTGCATCAGCCTTCCGTTTGTCTGCACGAAATCAAGCCAGAGACCACAATTAGCGGCACCAGCTTTCGTGGCCGTTCCCCACATGAAACTTGTGCAAGACGCCAGCGCATGTGTTCGCAATTTTTCAATACAAACTGCGCAGGGAATGGGGATGGAAGCGAAGGACTGAAGACCTTGGAGCGTTTACAAACTCTTTATGTGTACATGCCATGTGAGCAGTGGCAGGAATTTTTTAGTGTATTTAGGGATAAGAAGAGGGCATGACGTCATAGGTCAGCAAAAAAAAAAAAGTGGAACTCACTCAGGAAATATATCCTGCACTTTGGACTCACTCGGACTGAAACTCACCAAAAATATTATTCACCCGGACTCACAGCTCGATGAGAGTCTGAGCATGTCCGAGAGAGTCAGTTCATGAGTGGGTTTACCGATCTGTGGAGGGCATACTCGATACGAGAGAAGTTCTGGCCGTTCAGAGCGAGGACACGCTTGAGTGATCTGTAGATGGCTATAACTTAGAATTCGAAGTCCGCAGATGATCCAGATGACTGCCGGTCATCTCCACGACTAATGATATTGTTCGGCTTAAGCACTCGGTAATGTTCTCCGACGGCAGCTCGCGACACCAATATAAAGCCTGGAATATAATGTCAGTTTAAAGTTCCTGCCTACTGGTGCAGGTTCTCGTTCACCTTCCTTTGAGGAGAAAGTGCCGCAGACTTCTACAGTCGGACCCGACTAAAGGGCTAGCTTTGTATCTATCACCAGAAACAATGGAGGTAGCCAGGGGAGTGGCTGAAAACTTCAGGGGGGAGGGGCGACTGCATTACCTTTAGCGGCTGCATGTGTGAAACATTAGCGCCGCATAAAGACGTGATTCTAGTTACGCAGAGACTTTATTATATACACCTGTGTTTTATTTTAAAAAAATGGTCAAACGATCATTTCAAAAACTTTTTGAAGCTGATCCCCATGTATTTTCCGCAAAGCTAGCTTTTCTGCACAACTGTTGAGTACTGCCAGGAAGCCACCTTGACACACCAGAATTTGTTGTTTTTTTGAAGATACCGTAAATAACTTTTTATGCAATGCGCCCGCGATTTTTTTATTATCGAAATAGTAACTATACGAACAGTCTCAGCTGGTTTTTTTTGTTTTTGTGATCGCCACCGCAAAAAAAAAAAAAAAAGCCCGCACACGGGAGTCAAAGTACGCGTGAGAGATATCAAGAGCAAACCTCATAAGCGCGAAAATGCACGCGACAGTGACGAGCGATGCTATGAGCGACGAAACAAGGTGTTCGCGCGACGTGTCGCGTGCTCGTTTTCGCGTGATCGCTCGGTTCTTCAGATTTGGAAACCGTCGCTCATCGCCCGGAAGTGCTGGGCTCAAGCAGAGAATAGAGAAAAAACCGGAAAAGACAAAGACTACGTAGGTGCACGTGATCCTGCCCGAGTCACGTATGCGCAACAAGAAATAACGCAATGTTTACGCATGTGCTTACCCCGACAAGATCGACGCCGTCCGAAAATTTCCGGTGCCATCAGAAAAGAAGGCCGTAAGACGTTTTCTTGGCCTTTGCGCCTACTACCGCAGGTTTATCGCCAATTGCTCGCACATAGCGTCGCCCTTAACACGCATAACGAGAGACGATGTTCCATTTTTATGGGGCGAAGAGGAAAAAGCAGCATTTGACGGTCTACGACAGCGCCTGCAGACACCCCCTGTGCTTGCTCACTTTGACGAGGACGCTCCAACCATGATCCACACTGATGTCAGCAACGTAGGTTTAGGCGCTGTACTCGTTCAGTGGCAAGACTCAGCCGAGAGAGTGATTGCATATGCAAGTAGGACGCTTTCCCGTGCCGAGTCCCATTATTCCACAACGGAAAAGGAATGTCTTGCTGTAGTATGGGCAGTTCTGAAGTTTCGCCCATACCTCTACGGCCACCCCTTCCACGTAGTCAGCGGCCACCACTCTCTTTGCTGGCTGACCAACTTGAAGGACCCATCCGGTCGGCTAGCGCGCTGGAGCTTACGCCTACAAGAATTCGATATGACGGCCGTCTATAAGTCGAGACGACAGCACTCTGATGCTGATTGCTTATCCAGGTCGCCTATAAAGCAAGATGATGTCTCAGAAGATGATGACATGGCATTCTTAGGAGTGGTCGACACGGTCACCATTTCGTCTAAGCAGAAAGAAGACAGTGAGTTGCTCCCTCTTATTAATTTTCTTAACGGCCAGTCTACAAGCGTTCCCAAGATATTTGCAAGGAGCCTGCCATCATTCTGCTTGCGCAGTGGTGTCCTATACAAGAAGAACTTTGCCCCCAGCGGAAATGCCCACTTACTTGTCGTCCCGACATCCATTCGCGATGAGATCCTGAGCGCTTGCCACGATGAGCCAACCTCCGGCCACCTCGGATACACGCGCACATTGGCCAGAATCCAACAGAAGTACTACTGGCCGAAGCTTCCAGGCACTGTAAAGCATTACGTCCGCACGTGCCTCGATTGTCAACGACGAAAATCGCCACTTTTAAAACCAGCCGGATTGTTGCAACCAGTTCAAGTGCCCACCATGCCTTTTGCACAAATTGGAATGGATCTCCTTGGACCATTTCCGACTTCGCATACTGCAAGTGGGTAATTGTCGCTACGGACTATCTTACTCGCTACGCAGAAACAAAGGCTTTATCAAGTGGAACCGCAGTAGAAGCGGCACGATTTTTCATTGAAAATATCGTTCTGAGGCATGGTGCTCCTAGAATTATAATAACAGACAGAGGTACCGCTTTCACGGCCATGCTCCTCAAGTCAGTGCTTGAGTTGAGTGGAACAGCGCATCGAAAAATGAAAAAGTATACCTCCTACCACCCACAAACCAACGGCTTAACAGAACGCCTCAACAAGACTATTGCTGATATGCTTAGTATGTTCATCGACGTGGATCATAAATATTGGGACGACGTTCTACCATACGTTACGCTTGCCTATAATACGGCGCAGCAGGAAACTACACGGAGCACGCCATTTAGTCTTTTTTATGGCCGTGAAGTGACGACAATGCTTGATGCCATGCTGCTGCACGACTGCGAGGATACAGACACGGATGTTCAAGCCTTTACCCAACGAGCTGAAGAGGCACGGCAGCTAGCACGCGTGCGAATCACCCGACAGCAGAGTTACGACGCACAACGTTATAACCTGCGACACCGATACGTCACTTATCAAGGCGAGAAAGTGTGGGTCTGGAGCCCTATTCGCCGACGCGGCCTTTGTGAAAAGTTACTGAAGAAGTACTTTGGTCCCTACAATGTTATACGGCGCCTAAGTGACGTGAATTATGAGGTCATCCCTAACAGTTCCTCGCGAGCTCAAAAATCTGAAATCGTACACGTTGTGCGGATAAAGCCATATTGCAGTCAGCCAGTTGCGTAATACGTCAACTACATACACCGCGGATTCTGTAGCCGAGCATCGGGTCGATGCTCTTCCTGGAGGGAGGCAAATGCCGCATTCAACCTGCAGAGGAGAGCTCGCACAGCCAGAGAAGAAGACGAAGCTCTTGCCCGGTCCTCTTTACGAGCGCCTTTCATTTTTAATTAAAGTGAGCTCTTCTATATCGAACTCCTGCTGTGTCTGCGTCGTGACAATATAAAAAAAGTGCTGCAAAGCATTCATAACACTTTCCGTTCCCAGTACACAACAATATATCTTATTTTTAAGTTGCATACCACTCACTACACGGTTTTCTTGGTGCGAGTAGACAGCCTCATGCCAGCAACAGTGGAGTTCGCTCGCCGAAGCTAAAGTGAGCTAGAATAGCTCACTTTACCGAAACCGTCGCGTGAATGAGGTTTGCCTGCGCTAGCGACTGATCGCGCGAAGACGATCTACGTCGCATCGCTCGTCGCTGTCGCGTGCATTTTCGCGCGTATGAGGTTCAGCCTATAAGCGTGCCCGTCGGGCGATGCGCCGACGCGCGCTCATCTCTCGCGTGTACTTTGCTCCGCGGATGAAGGGGGGGGGGGGGGATGCTTGTGCGTGCTCTTATCCTTTGGTGGTGGGAGAATCGTGTTGCTTCGCCTTTCACTGGAACGATTAGTTAGTTGCCGGGCTCACAAAGGTCACTTCGGTCTCTACGCAGACCCGTTTGCGAAAAGAGAACGCGTTTTTCATACACAGCGAGGTATGACAACTGGGACAATTGCTAGTTTGTACTCACCTGTACCTGTGATTAAGTTTAGAGGGTCTTTTTGTTTAAACAGCGCGTTACGTGTCGAACGGTGAACGTTGCTAGTTCGCTCTCGTGAGTCTTGTTTTCGTACGTCATTTGTGCGTGGGAAACGCGCTGCACATTTCGATCTGCTTGCCGTTTTCAGCGTGTCATTCTAAGTTGTTGCTGTCGTATTCATTGCTTCGCCCTTGCGGCAAAACTGACTTGTTTTCGCCGCACGATTTTAAGGATGTCAACCTACATTTGAATCGACTAACAAAATAATCAAGTGAGCACAGCAGTTACAGCGTATTATGCGCCAGTTTTCGCTCGCCAGAACAGTTAAGTTGGACACGGCAGAACTGTGCTGCATAGTACCTGTCGTCGTCGTCCTCTTGACCATTCTGACCACGTGGTTAGCCACCGGGACAGCGGGCCCACATCCCATGCCTGAGCAGGACTGCATTGAAAATAAAAATGAAAAAGAGTTGATGTTTGATGAAAATAGGTCAAAAGAATACCGCACTTCTATTTCTTCCCGATAGCACCAGTCGGTCCATAAGCCTGTTTCGCAGAGAAATGGAATTACTAATAATTGACCGAGTTTCACGTTCCAAAACACCGTATGACTATGAAAGACACCATATAGTGTCCATATAAAATGCGACCGCCGCGGCCTATATTCGATCCCACGACCTTCGGCTCAGCTGTCGAGCACCAATTGCCCCGTGTGGAAGGGGGGGGGGGGGAGGGAAATAGTCTTAGTCCTTGGAAGACGTTAATATTAATAATATTAATAATATGTTAATTATATTAATAATATTAATAAATCACGTATATACAAGAAGTGGAAGACGCTAAGAGGAGCCAGCTCGGAGATGTAACCTGTGAATCCTCCGAACTAATTCCACTGCCTTCCTACAAAGACGTGACCACGTTGCTATACAATATTTGTTGTTGGCACAGGATTGCTCGTTGCGGATGCTCGAGAAGATTGAGAGGTTACTGTCGAACCACAAGCGGTCGCATACCTTACAGCTGCGGCCAAACGCGTAGTCGAGGAAATCGCGTTTGAATTAAGCGCGCGTCACCGCCACAGACTTCCGGTAGCGATCCTTTTCGGAGCCTGGCCGCTGCATCCCGCGCCCGTACCTCTTCGAGCTTCGCTTGTCGCCGCTTCCGTGCTGCTCTGGCTAGTCACCATAATTCGGCTGCGCTAGCCCTCACCACTGCCGCCACCTTTTGATCGATGGTTGCTTTTGCTCGCTGGTGTCCACGGTGTAGCAAGGGGTGCTGGTGTCTCTTCAGCTTCGCGGGCTCTCACCGCAGGTTCTTGGCGGCGAGCCTGCGCTGCTGCTGTCTTGTGAGCTCTCACTGCCGCTACATTGACTTTTTGGGTGTCCATGCTGACTTTTTTGGTGTCCAAGCTGACTTTTTGAATGTCCATGCCTTCGTTTCAACTTCGTTCGTATTCTCGTGCTTCAGCATCGTGCAGACGCCATCCGCGTTCCGACGCTCATTAGGTTTATTCATCCTCTCGAGTCAAGAAGAGACGCCACATCTGGCACCGTTTTAGGGGGCCGGACGGACACCAGTCACAACGAGTATGAGACGATAAGACCGATTCAGTTGGGCAAGCAGCTCTGCGCGCGCTGCTTGCCAGCCGCTTCTATGGCACACTGCGTCCGCAAAGTTGTAGCACATGTCCAACTGAATATTTACATTAAAGGATTTCGCCTGAATAAAGTTTCACGAAGCGTTACTATACCAACCGACAAGGCCAGCGGCAATGCTGGCGTCCCTGCGAGCATCGTGTTTCTCATTTTCGAAAACCGCGTGATGCGGGAGCTTTAGTTGCTATAGCGTAGCCGCGTTTGCTGACCTGGCAGTGAACGTGAACGTTTTCGAAATGAAGTGGTGATGTAGTAATTCAGCCATCCATGAAACATGACGAATTACGACGCCTGCGCAACGAGCGAATGAGGGACGAAAGTGCTTCGTTGTTGGTTCCAGGTTCGGTTATTCTTAGTGCTAATAACGAGCAACCTTGTTCAGTGTTCCTTCTGATACAGAACGTTTCAAGCCCAGACTCAAACAATTCCTATAGGAAGGACAGTACGCATTAAGGATGGAGTCTGAAGCAAGCAATTCAGTTCACAGATCACATGATTCTGAAGATATTTAGGAGAGCTAGCAGGAAAGATTCTACTCGACGTGCCAAAAGAAGCTTTCTTTAAGATTATGCTATTATTAATTCTTGCGTTTCTCTGTCTCCTCATGTACGCCCATGTATCATTATTAAACTCTAAATTTTACATGAAGGGCCGGTTGTCGTAGCAACGTTTTTTAGATGCGGAAGCATCTTATACTCGCGCCTTGTAGTGCGCCGTCCGCACCGCTTCTCGAACATTCGACAGCTGACGCGCGCGCATGCGCCGTCGCCCACTCTTCCACCATCTGTGCATCCCTTCCTCCTCTACACACTGCGCGCGCTTCACTCCTCCACCATCTGTGCACCCTTCCTCCTCTACACACCGCGTTCGACATCTACAATTCTCCTGATTCTCCAGCGGACGCGCATGTGGCGTCGCGCTTCGAGAACATTCAACAGCTGACAGTGCATGCGCCGTCGCGCTGTATATATACTCAAGGTCGGCGCTCGCTCGCTCAGTGGCCGCTCGTCGGTTGGTTTGTACGGCGCGTCGACGTCCAAGGTCGCGGTGAAATAAATTCCAACGAATCCACAAACACAATGATCGACGTCCCTTCGACCAGCGCCGCCCTTTCGCATACGTGTGTACGTGTTCACTCATTTAACACCCCCTCCTACAACCACGTTAACCAATTTAGCCATCGACCCAAGTAAGTCGCAATTTAACACCCCATTTCACAACCACGTTAACCAATTTAGCCATCGACCCAAGTAAGTCGCACTTTAACACCCCGTTAACCAATTATATGCTCCGCATCCTCCTCAGTGTTCCCCCCGAGGGAAGCTGCGGGCAATTTTTTTTTCTGTCTTTAACTTGCGTCTTCTCGCCGACGAATATCCACGCATTTCCGTCAGCAGTTCGATGGAAGTGCACCGTTGTTACTTTATCCTGTCTATCACTGTCGCGCGAGTGTCCTCATCTAAAATTTGTAAAATCTTCGTGTACAATATTTGAATGGCTGTAAGGTACGCAAAGCTTTGCGTGCGCTATGTACTTTGCGCATTCTACCACTAAGCTTGCGTCGTATACGCAATCGTCTTGGGTACCCGCGTTAAGCGAAAAAAAACTAGCGTATCGCACCAAACGAATGTCATCTCTGTGGACCCTAGAATTGGGACAGATCTTGGCTGATTTCTCTCGTTGCCGTCAGATATATATATATATATATATATATATATATATATATATATATATATATATATATATATATATATATATATATATATATATATAAGAAGAAAGAAAAGTGGATGAAAAAATTACCAGCTGTGAGCACGAATCGAACCTACGACCTTCGAATTCGAAGGTCGTAGGTTCGATTGCTGCTCACAGCTGGTAATTTTTTCATCCACTTTTCTTTCTTCTTTCTTCTTATTTACATTCCATTGGTTCTAATACCTTCCCCTGTACATTCCTTGGCATTACTGTCTGTTATATCTAATTAATGTTGTGTTAAAACACGGAAATACGAGCCCTTAGGTAAACACTTCTCTCCCTTATTATATATATATATATATATATATATATATATATATATATATATATATATATATATATATATATATATATATATATATATATATATCAATGAACAAGCAAAAAGCTTCTGCCTCAGTTCAGCTACTTCCGGTGACTCCCACACTGCCATGTCATGGACAATCTAAGGTGGACGTTTAGGTGAGGTGTATTAGAACCGTACTTCTCGCTACCATCTCCGTTATCGTCGACGCGCTGGACAAACGCCGGTGAAAACGCGGCATGTAGTTCGACCTTTGTAATGCAAGGCGTGTTGTACAAACATCTGCGGGACAGCTCTAACGGAACGCCGGTTGCGCTGAAGCAAGACAGGCTCGCATACGTGCCTGGACACAGAAAGAACGTGCTGCTGCTCGTGTGAGAAATGCTGCAGCTCAACACACATTCGACCATGTTCACTACATTTCGTATGACTTATTTCGTATACTGTAGGATATGTAGCTATCCTATTTATTTCCTACAGCCTTGTGCCGAAACAGGCTTTTCCTAAAACTGCAGGCCTATTATGCATTCACACGCTTCGGTACCCCTTTTGGCCCTAGCCCGCAAACGCCCTATACCGTGCAAACTGCGCGGCTACCACACAAACCTCGAGTCGTGGACGCTCGACGATCGGCTCCGCAGTGGAGGCAGCTGCCCCAGCTGGGCGCAGGTCCGCACCACGGTGGTCACGGTGGTCCACACCGAGGTAGACGGTCGGCAGTGCTCCGGGCACGAGGAGTAGCCCCTTCACCGGGAAGCCGAGCTGGGCCAGCCTGACCGGGTCGTGTCTGTAGCAGGAGGGCGCGAAGTGGCGCGAGCAGACGCGGCTCGATATGCGTGGAGTCCAGGCGAGCCCCCGTCCCGACGACCGAACGAAGTCGATCCACTGCTGCCGCTGGGGGCTGTCGACGGGAAACTTGTGGTACGCGACGTCCGATACTGCCCTGGACGGACACCGCGCGACGGCGCAGTAGTTCTGGGGCATGACGCGGAATCGGTGTCGTTGCTCGCCGACGCGGCCACCGCGGCCAGCAGGGAAGTTCCGTGACATTCGCAGCCCGGTCGGCCGGAGGTGCGCTTCTTCTCGAAGGACGTGCGCCCGTGCACGTGCAAGGAAATCAACACGTGACTGCACGCGGTGGTATAACTCCTACGTCGAAGTTGCGCCGTAGCAAAGTATGATGATGGTGATTATCACCGCAAACTGTCATGCATGACTACCGGTGTTGGCCGACAGTAGAACGCATGAGAGAGCGATATTAGTTGGCACCTATCCGCTGAACACGTATAAGCGAGCTTTACATGATGACGGCAATGTTCTCGTGGACAATCATCACATACATATATGCTAACGGGCCGAAGAGGAAGTCGAATAGACTTGATGTTCTTGAAGAAAAAAACCGCTATAGGCCTGCGCGGAACGCGCAGCACTGTCACATCGAAAGCTGGAAGAGCGGCCTTTCAGAGCCGTTTTTAAACACTCTTTGGGTAATCATCACGTACACTTGCAGGGTACCCACTGCGCCATTAATTATTGTGTAGTACGCTTTTGCTTTGCTTTGCTTTCCTAGATACATGGCACGTACCCACTTTGGGGCATTGGCTAAGAATGCAACGAAGAAACTGTTAAGTGTTAATTTAGGTAAGCTATGAAATTTAAAACCAAGAATAATGAAACGAAATGGCAATAGTACGTCAAATAACGCAGGCATTGACTATGCCATTCTTCGTCATTCTTAGGACAAGCGTGGTACCCGCTACATACTGGCGAGAAATTTTGTGAATTGTTTTGATACTGTGATTTGGGTGCACGTTAAAGAACCCCAGGTGGTCAAAATTTCCGGAGCCCTCCACTACGGCGTCTCTCATAATCAAATGGTGGTTTTGGGACGTTAAACCCCACAAATCAATCAATCAATGTTTTGATACTGTGGCTGACGATGATGCATAATTATTCCCGAAGCCGAGTATGTGCCACAGTTATTATACTTTGAGGTAGGATATATTCGTGCGTTTTTTTTTTTTTTGAAGGCACGACAGGTTAACTTTATTAGGCAAGTTAGAGATACGGAACACTGTGCATTAGAAAACAGTAATGGAAATTTATGATTTCCTGGACTGTCGAAACGAAAAGCGGTGCAATGATGCACCTACCGTTAAGGCACAGAATTTATGTTTCATGCACGTTTGACGTTATTTCAGCTCCAATTCTGGAAGTTCGACACACAGTATTTGCACGCACACTATATATGTCCCCGTCTTGACATGAGCGTGCAGCGCATCTATAGTAAAGCAAACGAACTAGCGAAACAAAAAATCAAAGCATATCCACGGAGTCAATGATGACGAGTGGGGCGAAGCGTCCGTCCGTGCGTGCGTGCGTGCGTGCGTCCGTCCGTCCGTCCGTCCGTCCGTCCGCACGTCTGTCTGTAAATTTGTCTGGTCAAACTGGAGATGCGATCGCTAAAACGTTTACGGGACAGTAAGGTATTCAGGGCAAATTGCAAATGGGAGATTACAAACACGGACTCTTCTCATGATGAAATCACGGTTCAAAAAGAGGGAGGGGAGGGATTAGAGCTATACTGGATTTATCAATAATAAAAGACCGAAAGCAAATGATCCCTCTGACTCCTAACACAATCTACAAGTAAAAAGAAATTATGATTATAATGAAATGGTTGTCTATGCTCAGGTACTGTCAAACTGAAACAGGTCAATTGAATGTAAAAAAATATATGTAAAGAAGAACACATAAAAGAAAAAAGAGAACGAGAAAAAGAAAAAAAAGTAGGAAAGAAGTAGAAAGAAAAATAAAAAATAAAAAGAAGGAAGAAAGGAGAAAAAATTAAAAAGAAATTATACAGTACACAAACAAACACCGAGAATTTCGCTTTAAGAAAGGAAAAAGAAAACACAACAGAGTGAGAACAGAAAAGAAAAAAAAGAAAACCAAAGAAACAATAAAAACGAAACGAAAATCGAGACACGAAAAAGAAAAAAAAAAGACTTGAAAAGAAAATAGGAAAAAATATCGAGAACAAAAAACAAAAAGAGATGATTGATTGATTGATTGATTGATTGATTGATTTGTGGGGTTTAACGTCCCAAAACCACCATTTGATTATGAGAGACGCCGTAGTGGAGGGCTCCGGAAATTTTGACCACCTGGGGTTCTTTAACGTGCACCCAAATCTGAGCACACGGGCCTACAACATTTCCGCCTCCATCGGAAATGCAGCCGCCGCAGTCGGGAATCGAACCCGCGACCTGCGGGTCAGCAGCCGAGTACCTTAGCCACTAGACCACCGCGGCGGGGCACAAAAAGAGATGAAGCAATAATTGTGAAAACTATATGTATTGCACTAACGAAGGGTAAAATTTTAACAACTATTGAGGACTGTCTGTCACAATTCAAAATTTTCTTCCCCAGAAATGGAATCATGCAATTATAGCTCTGAAGGTTAAAGAAAACTATAATAACCACTAATATTGCAAGCAACTTGACATTCTGTCGCACTTTAAATCCACTAAGTATCATTATATATAAAAAAGAAACCACAATCCAACATTCATTGATTTACAACTCTATGTACATACTCCGCATCTGCTACTAGAAAAAATTAATAAAACCAATATGCAAACCAATTAGACATTAACGGGGCGCGGGGTGGAGGGCAGAAATCAAGTCTTTTAATTTTAAAGAACACTCATTTCGGAAGTTTAAACCAAATAACAGGCAACTCCTACTCTACACACTGACAGGAAAGCAAGATCTCCAAGACAGCCCCATTAAGCTGCGCATCGCAAGATTCGTCACTGAAGATTAACTCGGTCAAACATGTTAGCAGCAAGATCTACATTGTACACCAAACTAAGTGGTTTTTTTTTTCTGTCCGGTTCGACAGGGAGTGGAGTCCGCTTCTCATGCACATCCTTCCCTCTCAAAACTTCTGCCCTGTTTATTTTCGAGAGCAATGTGAGCATGAACACCAATTTTTTTATTTATAGTTCTCGCTCCGCAAAAAAAAAAAAAAAACACACAACTCGGAGGGAATTGTTGCAGTTAATTATAGATGCGATCATTTCATAACCACACCTTCATGAATAAAACAAAACAAAAAGGAGATGTCCACAACAGTGAAAGTACTATTTCCGAGCACACCCCGAAAAGAACACCACGTTTATGACAACGGTTCAAACACCAGGAAACCTGTGGTTACGAAGTTACGAGCACAAACACAGTCAAAACCACGCACGTAACTTGTAATAGTCTAATCAGTGACTGTCTTCCTAGTAATGTACACGCCATTTCGAAAATCGTTCCCCAAGTACGCGGCGTGGCAAAGGAAAGGTGATAGGAAACAGCAACAAAGCTTGCAATATTCACGCTGCATACACGAGAGGCATTCTGCCGCTGCCACTTGTCACTCTTTATTCTCAGTGTCAATAAAAGTTCGCTTTTAGGATCGCTTGAAAAATAAAACACCTTCCATCCATTTTTAAGATGGCTCGTGCCTTGTGTGGCATGCAGCATGCAGTAATCTTGTGGGATTAGCGACGAATAAGATGGCCGACAAGGCAGTGGGCGGCGCGTTCACGTTTATGCAAGCGCGGCGTAAGCCAAGACATGACGGACCATATCAAAGAAATGACCACGCTCTGAACGGGTGCGCGCGCATCGAGGCACTGTAGCGTCGTTTAAAGTGCCTCGTTGAGCGCACCCATTCACAATTATTGGTTACATGTTCGTGCTTCTTAATGAGGTTCCGCCCACGTTTGGCTTGGGTTTACCGCAATGTTTATTTAACAAGCAGACGTCGCAGCGGAAGTCAAAGTGCTGCTGCAGAAACTCCCGCCGAAAGCGGGCGTTAGCCCCGGCGTACGCACTCCCGCAATCATGACGTCGACGCTGTTGTGCCCGCAACGCCGCTTGTTCCGCTCGCCGTTGTTGCAAGCGTTTGACATCGACAGCTAACTCGGCAGCGTGGTTTGTAGGATCCGCCCGCCACCGGCGCATGCATTCTTGTTCGCGCTTTAGCGCGACTTGGAAGGCAGCCAGATTTAAAGTAAGCCCAGAAAGGCTGGTTAGGAAAGGTACCCCCCCCCCCACCTTTTTTTTTTTGCTAGAAAACTGTAGGTTCTTCACTGCTCATGCAGGGGTGATTCACTCTGCGCTATTCAGTTATTTGCATAAGTCAGCAAAACCGAAGTCCAGACGTGTCTGTCACCCAAACCGTTGTGGTTGTAGTCTGGAGGTTGCGATAAGAACAAAATATATGTAAATTATATAGCCGTCAAGAACGCTTAAATTTTTCAAAAATAAGCACCTGCTTTACTCTTGTACATACACTTCCTAAAACCTTTATTAACAAAAAATCAAATTCTGCATTAATCCTTCACCTTCTTGCATGCCTGCAAATCCACTTTGTGCTGTGCAGGGTATGCGAACACTTTCATTATGTCAAGAATTATTACCAATAGTGCTGTTGCAAAGGAGTTGTATTATTCTCATATATTGCAGTGCATTCATTCATGCTAACTGATGGCAAAGCAGGAAAAACTGTACACTACAGAGTTTGAGACATAGTTGTGTGGCTACCTGAACTCGTGGGGCTGTTGTTGGATGCAGCTGTTGCTCTGGCGAGTCGCCCGTGCATCCATTGGAGTGCTGAATCATGGCCTGCGTCTCTTCAAGCAGCCACGTGTGCCATAGTGGTAGAGAAGCGATGTGACAATTGCATAGGTGTCGGCCGTTGTTGGCAGGCGAAATATTCAGCGGGAATATTTTTTTAGGTTGTGAGACACTGCACTCTTGGATTCCTCGAATACTCTTCAAACTAGCAAACTGTGACAACTGACCTATTTTACTTGCTAGTACTGGTAGCGCAGCCGAGCACAGGATTGAGATTTTTTTTTCTTATATCTTTCTTGAATTCATTGCACAGAAGCCTGCGATGAATAACAATATTTGAAAATAATTTT